TATCAAAAGAATTCTTTCTGAAAAAGTAACTACATCACATAACAACATAGCAAGATTCTTCTAAAAAAATAACAATTTAAATAAATATTCTGCACGCGCAGATTTTCATTAGTTTTCAAAAAGCATATATAAAACACTTCATATAGTGTTATGATACTTTAGTCGCGTCTACTTTAATCATTGTTCGAAGAATCTACTTCGAGATCAGTCCTTCTAGTTTTTCTTTATTTGTGTGAGAAGCATTCATACAAAGTTTTGAAGCAACATGGCTGAAAGACAAGAAATTGAAAATTGATTTTGAGCCTAGTAATCCTCGCCTGATAATCAATATATTACCGAACGAAATGAGCAACAATATTTGCTGCTTTCTACGACGTACCCATGCAACTCCTCTCACGAAGAAATTGAATGTGGGATTATAATCCACGAACCTTCTAATCTATCGTTAAATTGACTAGCAATTACGCAAAAGGAATCAGCTTCGATTCGAACGCGTGGAAACAATTTCAAGAGAATATGAGACTCATGAGGACATATCTAAACGGAAATAGCAAAATCAAAGTAAATCCTATCTCATTCGCAAACAGCTTTACCTCCAACTGTGGTGCGAAAGCTATACTGGAGACGCATAAGGAAGATGAAAATTTTTCAAAGGAGATTCCGCATCATCCTCAAGTACAACCAATACAACTGCCGATGAAGAAAAGAAAATCTTACTTCGTCGCAATTGTAATGCAGCAATCTACATTTCAAGGAATGGAGAAAGAAATCAAATGTGTCGATGCGCATGTAAAGTAACTGTCTATTATCAATGATGTTATCGAATGCGTAATTTTGAACCATTGTTGGCGTGTGCGATGGTGCGTGGAGGAAAATCAACTTGTCGTGAAGGAAAATCAGCTTGTCATGTCTTTTCCGATAATGCGGCCTTTTTTCACGCAGAGCACGGTGCAATTTGATTAGTTGTTGATGATAGTAGTGAGCATTAACAGTTTCACCAGATTTTAACAGCTCGTAGTAGATGACACTTGATCCCACCAAACGCACAGCATCATCTTCCGTCCGAAGCGATTTGGTCTTGAGGAAGATGTTGATGATTGGGCGGAATCAACCCAAGATTTCTTGCGTTTAGGATTCTGAAAATAGATCCACTTTTCATCGCCTGTCAATCCGATGCAGGAACGACTTTCTTTTTTGTCTGTAAGCAGAATTTGGCATGTGTTTTGGCGTCGCTCCATCTGCCTATCGTTCAGTTCATACGGCACCCATTTTCTGATCTTTTGAACCTTCTCCATGTAGCCGCATGGAAATGGCTGCTTGAGAAACACCCAATTGCTCGGCAAACATTTTTTGCGATTGGGTATCATCCAAAAGAGCCTGCAATTGACAGTTCTCAACCTTCCTGGGCCGATTTTCACGCTTCTTGTCACTCAGGTCAAAATTGTCGTCATTGAACTGATCGCGAAACTAATCTCTGCACGTTATTTCCGATAAAGTTTCCACAAGCATTCGATGCGATTCGGCAGCCGATTTCTTCAAATTGAAACAGAAAAGCAAAGCTTTCCGCATAAGCTTTTTTTTAAGCAAAAAACTAGATATAATTACGAAAGAAAAAATGTATGTTGTTGTATGAAATTGCTGATGATGTGCACTGGTTAATGTTGACAGATGTCAAACACATAAAAAAAAGTGTGTTGTGTGCCCAGGGTAGCTTTGTACGCTCACTAATGCCACCTATGAGCAAACAGCGGATTTAAGCTTCTATACCTGGTATATATATATATATATATATATATATATATATTCTTAGAGCCTTTTTTACCAGGCTCGCTATTATGAATACCGCCACGATTCCTGCGCTTACTGAGCGAAATGTTACGAAGCTCTACCAAGCTCGTCGCGCTGCGCTTTCTGCCTTGTAACTCACAATTACAGACTTTTCGTCCAGTAGATTTACCATTGAAATACTTGAAATAAAATCAAAAATATTTCAAGCATCTTTAAAAAAGTCCCATAGAACAGTTCTCCGAATGATATCTTGAAGACATCCTTATGATATAGACATTCTTTGAGACTGTTGTATGGGATAATTTCTTAAAATAATAATAAACTTTATACAAATTTTTATACAAATTTATACAAAATTATAATAGACTTTTATACGGATGACGTTTATAGTATAAAGTACAACAACTCATTAAAATAAGAAAATGAAATGCAGTTAAGAATGTAATGAGAGGCGCAGAAATAAAATAGATTTTTACATATGGATAACAAGTAGAAAATTGTGAAGATAAAAAATTGAAAATGAACAAGATCTCCAGCAGCAACATACTGCCCATCTTTTTTATAT